CGGAGAATGGTACTACGACATCTGAGCAGAAGAAAATATGTTATAAATAGTAATAGAATAGTACTTGGGAATGTTTTAGGTCAATTTGTACTTTAATTTTAGAAAAACCTATGCGAAAATATTTTCAAATGGTTACTAGAGGAAAAGCGTGGCTATAGCATCTGTATTGTCATTGTTAGTGATCTTGTTAACTTTCTTTCAGAATTGTGTAATTAGCGCTGCTCAAATCTGCTCATTTGTACAGAACTGGTTTTGTGATAGGTGGTAGCGCTGTTTTGAAAGAATGTTGTAGAGTGTTGCCTGGGAGCGTTGTTGCAGCGGATTCTGTTTTTCCACCTTCACTATTGCAGGGAATCCAGGTTAGAAATGCTCTCGATTTTCCAATAAGTGGAACATCCTTTCTTTCAGCCAGAATAATTGGGCAGGAACCGGAATGCACTGAAGATTTGATGACGGAAGCGACAAAACAGTATTGTGACAACTTTCAGCCATCCAATGTACCAAAGGCTTCATTTGCTTAACGTCACTAAATTAGCTATGTGTACAAAGCATACTACTATAGTAATAAATAATAAAACCTGAAGGCGATTTATTCTACAGGAATGGGAGAGAATCGATCCCGTCGTGGTATCGTAATGTGGCATAATGGTAAAAATAGATAAATGAAAGGATCAACATAAAGAGGATCTTGTTCTTTCCATGTACTATGTGTATATGTTGATAAAAAAATTTATTTTGTTCGATAATTTTGGTTAATGTAGTTCTACAACTATGTCACAGTCGAGCTACTTCTGGACTAAGCAGCATGCGAGAAGCTAGTACTGGGCAAATGCAGTAACGCTTTTGATTTTGTTGCCATATGTTTTCTTTAAAAATTGCAAGGCCATTTAAACCCATATATCCTATGCTAACTCCTCCTTTCTTATGATAATGGGATATTCTCGTGTCATTCTTACGGTGTTAGTTCTGGTTTTGCCAGCAGTGCAGAAAAAGTAGTCTGACTGACATTATAGTTATGTCCGCAGTCTTTTAAAAAATGATGTACTCTAGCAGTATCGCTCTTGAAAAAAGAAGAACATCCTTACTCTAATCCTGTTTTTGGAGTGAAGAGGGTTTATGACTTATAATACAGCGCGTGTTTGTTCATATGTGTGCGTTTCTTCATCTGTCACGAAGTTAGTTAATTCTCAAAAGTCAAAGAGCAGTTATCAACTATTATTATGTCAACTTCAGAACCTGAGTAAGTATGAGCTCTGTTACTAGGCACTGAGGTAAGATGGCTGTTCAATTCGTTTTGCCATGGGTAGGTTCAGCAGCCGGATCAGATAGCCTCCTAGCTTCCTGCCTTCTCCTTTGAGATGGCGTTGAGAGGCAAAGACAAGGTGAA